TCATCTTTCATCATCTATGTGCAGAGTCAGGGAAACACCTTCATGGCCCGAGTTCAGTTTATCATCCGATACAGAATGTAGCAAAAAGATGCTCGAGATAATTTAGCAATGGTGCAATCGCAGTTTATCTATTACAATACTTACATTCTGTATGTAGATAAATACAAATATTGGTGATTTTATTGATATCTGAATTTTTGACTCAAATCAAAAACAACAAAACAACAGTAAGAGTCAGGCTCAGGTGACCCAACCCTGTGGTTCAGCGTACTTTACTCTTACACAACAACTGCCACTATAAAGAGACTGAAAGCAAGTTCTCCTCCTGCCATCTTTCACATCAACACTTTCCATCTCTTTACATGGATGAAACAGAGTGCAGCGCTAAGAAGGCCGTAGCAGAGAGTCCCAGTCTGTTTGAAAAAGAGCGAGCAAGGTGTGTCCACACAGAACATGTGACTATATATTACACAATAAATGATACATGATGAAGCAAAGTTAGGTGCTCGAGTTAAAAACCTTTGGGGGGAAATGTAAATGTTCCAAAACACACAAACAGACCAACAGAGCGAAGCAGACTCTCGTCGACACAGTCGGTTTGTTTCCTGCTGGCTCACAGCACACGTCTGCATGTTTAGTACACTGGCTGGCTGAGGCAAAAGAACGCTGAATAATCAAACAAGAGTTACATAATAAAAACATTCACCTTGCTTTTGTCTAAACACACTATAAAAAAGTGGCTCAGAAGAGGAAGGAAATAGACGAAGGAGAGGGGGCTCCCCGATTGGGCTTTCCCTAGACCATCCATCCATCCTAGACCCTCCTCAGGAATAACAACGATGTGTCACAGTTAGCCTGCTAGCATCCTAAAGAGTTCAGGTCATCCACAGTGTGTAGCGTAGCGAGTGTGTGCAGTGTGAGTGACGTTTGGGCTGAGATCGGTAAAAACAGACGGAGCCCAAGGAGAAATGCATTTGGCCAAACGGCTTTAATATTTGTAACTCGTGTGTCTGTGTGTTTCGTAGCAATAACCTCACTTGAATTTGAATCTTTTATCTCCATGTCGTTCTAAATTAATGCCAATCTGCCATCTCTCATTTCCTTCTGCCTCCACGGCAAAAGATCAAATCGTCTCAGTGTTTCCTGGTTGTTTCCTCTCTGTCTAATCAAACAGGTCTGAATTAACCCTCATACAGATTCAATCTGACTTTGCAGTTTAGACCTCTGTCCGAGCAGGTCACGGGGGGAGAGTCGGGAGTGGGAGTGGGTTATATGGTGGGGTGTGAGTTCTACGGGTGATGGGAGGGAACAGAGTAGAGAAATCACTGAGATGGTTGTGGTTGTAGGTCCTTTAACAGCAGCCCCCTCCGGACTGCCTGACGGGGGTGCTATCGATTTTTAAGTTGGGCTTGTCCCCGCCAGCTGTGGCCCCGGGGCCCATGCGCTTCTTGATCTCGGCTGCCATGGTCATGAAAGCCTGCTCTACGTTTGTGGCATTCTTGGCACTGGTCTCCAGAAAGGGGATCACCAAAGAGTCAGCAAACTCCTGAAAACATAAGAAGAAAATTCCAGTGCAAACAGTCGGAAATCTGCAGTCAGAATATTTCAGCCCATTAGGCGGCTTCAAGTGTCTGTGTGAGTCATCCAGGCCCGGGTAGTCTAAGGAGTTTAGAAAGAAAGTTTCTTTAAGTTTCCTCTCATCTGAGAAGCTTCTCCAGTTCTAAAACCAAATGTTGGAGAGTCCCAGGTATTTAATCCCTAGTGGGAGTTGTCCCTTAAGACGGTAGTTGACCCACTGTTGATCAGGGTCACCCTTTCAAGTGAGATCACCCGATGCAAGATGTGAGCGGCAGTTGAGGCAGCACGATCTCAAAAATGCATTTAATCCCAACTTCCACTAGAGATTAAATACCTGAGACTCTCCAACATTTGGTTTAAGAACTGAAGAAGTTTTCTAAGCTCCTTAGACGATCCCCGACACTCAGTGCAGCTCTCTGATCAACTGAAGGCTTCTGAGGGAGCAGTCCAGTCCAACAGTCCACTAATAACATGAACTAGTTTTATAATGACATCCAGATATGCCTTCATGTTTGATATGAATAATCAGGTCGCATCAAAATGACCTCATGAGAGAGAGAGAGAGAGAGAGAGGGAGAGAGCGAGCGAGAGAGAGCGAGAGAGAGAGCTAGCGAGAGAGCGAGAGAGAGAGCGAGCGAGAGAGCAAGAGAGAGAGAG